ACACCCCCCCCCCCCCCCCCCCCCCCCCCCTTCACTACAACCCATGTCTAAGCAAAAGCTTGTCGAGGAGCGAGGGGAAGAAGGGAGAACAGTGCAAATAGCTATTGTTACTCCGAAGTATGTGTTGTTTCCTGTATTTCATTTTTACCTCAACCGCTACTAAATCACACCATAAAATATAAAATATACCCCCGCCTCCTCTCATGGTCCTTGACGACAGCAGTTTGAGGGTTATGCCTGGCTGTGCTTCCATTGGTATACCTAGTCTTGCCTTCAATCCGCGTGCCCTCCTGGCTGAGGCGCTCTGCCTGACCGCTCTCTCCAGCATGAACGTCCTATTCCGACGCGATTAATCATTGTGGATCAAGGGCACAAAACCCGTAAATCCATGCATGCATAAATCTCTCAAGGACTACAATATATCCACCCTTCCTGTCAGGTGATACTGTAGGTATTGTGTGCTTCGGATTGTTTTTTGCGGCTTTCCCGCCAGTCGTTGGGGTGGTTTGTTTTGTCGTCCTGTCCTGGCTGCATTGTTCGGATATGTAACAAATAGCGAATACCCAACATTAAATGAATACACACGCACGCGCTTTCTCGGTGCCTCCTCTGCATGATGGCGTCGGTGTCAAAAGCGGTTATGTGACGGCAGTCTTTTCAGAGCTAAGACCAGAATTGCCGGGTGCTTGATGCCTCCGCGTCGAAAATGCAACCGACGTTGAAACAATCATAAGTTGTAATTGTTCCCGACGTCGGCATTTATACCTGCCGTCAGTATTTCTCGTGGGACGCATCATCGGCCAGCGTTGTACAAGAGGAGACGCATACGAAGCAACAAGAATCCAAACCCCCTCAACTGATCACCGGGTGTGGTGCTCGTTCTCCGTCCTTATCTTCTCGGTGTCTGCCGTTTATCGTCGTCGCAGGCCTTGTTTCTGGCGCGAAATTCAACGACGATGCGCGGCTTTGGGGTGCTTCTGGCTCTCCTTGTGGTCGGCGTGGTCAAAGGTACACAAAATGGAAGGAAAATGACACTGTTGTAAGGGCTGTGCTTTTGGCGGTGAGCTCTCTGTTCTCACCAATCCGTCGTTACACCCATGTGCGAACCGCGACGGAACCCTAAAAAATCGCGGAAATCCTGATGTTGGTTGGTTGGTTGTCATAGTCTACGAGTCAGTCGTGCCCCACTCAAGTCCTACCCAGACCGTTTTCAGGGAGGATATACACACATTTTTTGTCTTCACTTCAAATCAGCGCTCACAGCACTGGTGCCGTTTTCTCCAACCCGTGGTCACACAGAAGAGCCTCTCTCTACCATCCCCTCCTGCGGTACGTTGCCTTCTATTTTTAGTGCGAGAAGAGTTCAGCACTCTCTTCCCTCTGTGTACACACGAACTAGCGCTATCCACTAGACCAGGAGCGGAAGCGAGAGAAAAATCACTTTGCAAGAAAAGCTCGCTTACGCCGGGATTCGAACCCCTGACCTGCTACGCGGTGGAAGACTAAAGGCAGTTGTTTTTGGATGACAACTCGCTAGAGCACCTCAAGTTCTCAGTTGCGTAGCCCCGGGATAGAAGGCTTGCACAGATTCGGGCCAGTGGGACCAGAAAAGAAGAGTCCGTGAATAGGAGAGGACATAGTTTGTAAATACACTGCTGTAGTCATCACGTCGAACGCCGAGCGACCACTGTTGTCACTGACGGACCTTTTTTTCTTGACACATATTTTTTTTCCGCACCCCCGCGGAACTCACGTGCCTCTCTCCACACGACTACAGGTCAGACTTGCGACGGCATCCTCAAGGACGTTTTCTGCTGCTCCGCCGGCTGCGGAGAATGCGGGGGGTCAGGGTAAGAACACGCCCGAGCTCCACCCCATCCCCCCTCCTCAGATTCTTAAACAGGAAAGGACTCAAGTGCCCCCCAGCAACCCCTTTGCCCAAGGCTCGCGGGAGCCGGTACCAGGTAGATGACAACGCGAGATTCACGTTTCGATCCCTGGGTTAAAGACAGGTTCACGAAAGTTACTTCCCAGAGAGAAGAAACCCACAAGCTCTTTGTTTCCAACCGAATCCGCTGCTGCTACTACAGGTGCGGCGATCGGGGCGGCGGCCTAACCGGCGCTGACTGCTGCACGTCCGACATCCTGGCCGCCGGCATTGCCTGCGGCTCCGCTCCGTGCCTCCTCGAGGGGGGCTCTTCCCCCACGCCGGCGAGCAGCGGGAGCTGCGACGGCATCCTGCAGGGCGACGTGTGCTGCTCGGTGCGCGTTCTCTTGGGCCGGGGGTTGTGATCGATTGGGGGATTGTTTTGTGTATTGGCCTCCTCCCTTGTGCATCAGCCCAGGGCCTTCCTTTTGTGTTGGGAGGCTTTGGGGGCGCTGGAGTTACCCACCCACAAGGGGAGCAGGGCGCTTCATAGGAGCGGAATAGAAGGTATTAAAACCCTAGGTAAGAGATGCTTGCGCGAGGCGGGTTTGTGTATATATCGTCCTCCTCCATTCGGGTCAGTCCAGGGCCTCGCTTTAGCGTTAGCTTTGGGGGGCGACAGGACCTCCCGCAGGTGCTGTTTTTTCCCGCGCCTTCGCTCCAAGGGTAGCAGTTCGCTTCATTGGAGCGGAATAGAAAGCTCGAGAAGAGATGCATGCTCGAAGTCGTACTGGATCTGGTGACAAGTGCTCCATTTTCAAACGACTTGAGGAGAGGTACCCCCCTCCCTCCCCTGTCTCCTTACCCTTTGACCGCCAAATGCTCCGCTTTTTCCAACCGAGCTTGCGCCGTGCTCTTGTTATCCTCGCCGCCGACACGTTTGACCGTGGCCCTTGCTGCCGTGGCCGTCCACCTTCGTCCTCGCAGGCCGCCTGCGGTACGTGCGGCGGCTCCGGCTGCGGCTCGAGGGCCGGCCTCACCGCGAACGAGTGCTGCACCTCAACCATCACCGCTGCCAACGTGCCGTGCGGTTCGGCTCCGTGCGTCGTGGTTGGTGAGCCGGGGCCGGTTCAGACGGTGATATGTGTGTTGAAATGGTGGAGAAGGTTGACCGGACCAACCACACACGTGGGAATAGTAGCTATTTGATAGTCCTCGTTGGACAGGCGCACGAAGCTGGCGAAATATGTTTGCAGTCGTCCTTTTTTTCTTTTTGTCCTTGTCATATTTAGACAGGAGGCAAAAGTTTTGTTCACGAGGTTTTCCTGTGGCTTCGCGTCGATTGTACGTCCGACAATGCTTGTCCCTCTTTCGGTAGTTTCTTGCTGCGTAGCACATGGGTCCGAATCCCTCGCCTACGCCTGCTTGGGCCATGTGCCCTTTCTCTTGTAACGCCCTGCTCTCGTACACTTGCTTCCCGTCTCGTTGCAGGGGACACATCACCCACGCCTACCCCACCGACACCCACGACGACCACCTCGGGATCGTTCACGTGTGACGGCGTGCTCAAGGGCGACTACTGTTGCTCCGCCGGATGCGGGGAGTGTGGCGGTTCCGGGTGAGTCCTGGCAGCGGTAGCATAGCACCCGATGAGATATTGTTCTTCGTGTTGCAGTAGGTCCGTTTGAAGGAAGACGAGAAGGCAGTCCACCAACAACGACCAACCACGGCCCAACCCACACTCCCGCATTCAGGTGTAGCGACCGTGGCGGAGGCCTGACGGGCGCCGACTGCTGTACGTCCGATATCTCTAACCTTTGCTCGGACACCGGCGCCGCCCCGTGCATCGTGGACGGTAGGTTGATCGCTCGCTCGCTCGCTCTCGGGGATGGTTCATGCGGTTTGTGTCCACGCGTTGTTTTTTTAGTTGTCGGGGTGACGGTGTCGATTGCTCGTGTTCCCTAGCAGTCGGTCGTCTTGCTGGGCACTCGAATGGATGTGCGTCTGTTCTCACTCCGAGAGTTCATACTACTTTTCCGACAGTTTCTCCGCGCGCCGGCCGTACATCAGGGGCCTCCCTCGCCTATTTATCTTGGCCTAAAATGCTTGCGTCCATACACCTTTTGTGGGTCACGTAACGCCCTTTCCCCGCACACCTCACCTCTTGTCGCAGGGGACACGTCACCCACGCCTACCCCACCGACACCCACGACGACCACCTCGGGATCGTTCACGTGTGACGGCGTGCTCAAGGGCGACTACTGTTGCTCCGCCGGATGCGGGGAGTGTGGCGGTTCCGGGTGAGTCCTGGCAGCGGTAGCATAGCACCCGATGAGATATTGTTCTTCGTGTTGCAGTAGGTCCGTTTGAAGGAAGACGAGAAGGCAGTCCACCAACAACGACCAACCAAGGCCCAACCCACACTCCCGCATGCAGGTGTAGCGACCGTGGCGGAGGCCTGACGGGCGCCGACTGCTGTACGTCCGATATCTCTAACCTTTGCTCGGACACCGGCGCCGCCCCGTGCATCGTGGACGGTAGGTTGATCGCTCGCTCGCTCGCTCTCGGGGATGGTTCATGCGGTTTGTGTCCACGTCGTTGTTTTTTTAGTTGTCGGGGTGACGGTGTCGATTGCTCGTGTTCCCTAGCAGTCGGTCGTCTTGCTGGGCACTCGAATGGATGTGCGTCTGTTCTCACTCCGAGAGTTCATACTACTTTTCCGACAGTTTCTCCGCGCGCCGGCCGTACACCAGGGGCCTCCCTCGCCTATTTATCTTGGCCTAAAATGCTTGCGTCCATACACCTTTTGTGGGTCACGTAACGCCCTTTCCCCGCACACCTCACCTCTTGTCGCAGGGGACACGTCACCCACGCCTACCCCACCGACACCCACGACGACCACCTCGGGATCGTTCACGTGTGACGGCGTGCTCAAGGGCGACTACTGTTGCTCCGCCGGATGCGGGGAGTGTGGCGGTTCCGGGTGAGTCCTGGCAGCGGTAGCATAGCACCCGATGAGATATTGTTCTTCGTGTTACAGTAGGTCCGTTTTGAAGGAAGACGAGAAGGCAGTCCACCAACAACGACCAACCAAGGCCCAACCCACACTCCCGCATGCAGGTGTAGCGACCGTGGCGGAGGCCTGACGGGCGCCGACTGCTGTACGTCCGATATCTCTAACCTTTGCTCGGACACCGGCGCCGCCCCGTGCATCGTGGACGGTAGGTTGATCGCTCGCTCGCTCGCTCGCTCGCACCAAAAGGCGGTGGCTGTTTCCGTCCATGTCCACGTAGATCGCTACAATTTACTTGGCTGTGATTTCCTTTCTCTCCTGTTCCCCAGCAGTTGATCGTTTTGCACTCAACATGAGAGAGAGTTCCGAGCCAGCGTGTATATCCCACGTCGGTACAAGTTGAAACTCCAACGGGTGGATGTTGCTTCGAGACTAGCGCGGGAGGGTTAGGATGAGCTAGATGCTCGCGAGATGAAGAGGGTTCGTGGCAACCGCCCAGGGGTCGTTCGAAGGGGGTCGTACAGTACACGCCTCCACTCAAGAGCCCGGGAGTAAAGATTTCAAGCACTACAACGTGATGGAATTTTCGATTTGACCATAAGAACAGTTCAGGATCGCGCACCAAACCTCCACATAGTCCATGTTGGGTTTTCCCGCGGGGGAAAGTAGGCAACGAGCCTTGTGCAAAATGAAGTGTTTTTGACGCTTGTTCGTTGACAATCCTGATTCGCTCGTACTCTCTGTGCGCGACGACGGCAGACGACTCGACGGGACCCACGCCGACGCCTCCGAGCCCCTCGCCACCGACACCGTCGCCTCCTTCGCCGTCCACTTGCTCCGGCACCATCGCCTCCATCTCTACTTCCTCTGACTCATCTTGTGAGTGCTTTTGTACAGGTCTGCGTCGACATCCAAAGACGACGGAACTATGAGAGAAAACAGAACGAATCGTGTACGCACCACCACCATCCGTCCGCCTCATCACCCTGCGCTTGTCACACACACGGCCTAGTCCGAGAAGCCAACAACTCTGTCTTGCCATACCGCCTTTTCGTGACCATGTCTCGCCGCGGCTGTGCCTTTCATGTCCGGACACATGGCAAACAGAAACGAGAATCCCCCCCCCCCCCCCCCCCCCCCCCCCCCCCCCCNCCCCCCCCCCCCCCGCCCCCCCTCAAAACCCCACGCCAGCTTTCTCGGGGGGCGGGTGCGCTACCCTTACCGATTTGTATAACACCCAGTCGGGAAGCGGTCCTCTCTACGTGCTAGACTCCAGCAACAACATCGTCAGCGGAGGGGGAGGCAGCGCGAGCCCCACCGGCTACTGGCTCCTCACCTCTTCCCTGGAGATCCTCGACGGAGTGACGCTGTACGTGCACGGGACGTCGGCTGGGGGCGACGCAGATGTGCTTCGCATCCAGGTGGGTACCTGCCTCGTAGGAGAGAGAGAGAGAGAGAGAGAGAGAGAGAGAGAGAGAGAGAGAGAGAGA